GCTAGCATCGGGCCCAGTTCTCTGGGATAGGCAGCAGCACCTATGGCAAAAATGGGAGAAAGACCAGCAGTCTGGTGTTCGAATCTGGTTGCTAGGATACTATGGAGACCCTCCATTGCTAGGCAGACAGGGAGGAAAAAAAAATGCGTCCATATGCCTTATAACCTGCAAACAGCAACAATAGAGACATCATCCTCCTTCTTCTATCCTTTCCCATTAAGAATACAAACCCAACTCTTTAGTGAAATAAAAGTAGTGGAAGCTTGGAAATGTGGCCCAGGAGAGCAAGGAAGTTGGTCATTTATATTCTCAGGCAGTTTCCAGAGCTACTCTATTGAAGGGCTTGTTGGTATTTTCATTATAAGCCCCATTTTAGGGGCACAAACTGTGCTTCAAAATACCCTAATATGGTTTTAACAGCCTGGTCTTATTTTTATAAAGGCTGCTACAACTTCAATTTTATTACATAGACTATAATGTCAAATTAACAATCAAACTTAAATTGGATAGTCTATTAGAATAACGTTAAGTTGGAATTGAACTCCCCCATAAGAACAAGGAAGATGAATCTACAAAATCAACTTGAGGTTCAAGTGCCACCTAGGTTCTGTGTGCTGGGGTGTGTGAAGAATCCACCATGCTAGTCTGTGGCATAAAACGAGATTATTTCCAGTGGGAACATTCAGAAGTGAGTGGAAAGAGGAACTTGTTTTCTTTAAGAGTGGAACTCAGCTTCTTTAAGAGTGCTAATCATCTGCTTGGTTAAATTAAATATTATTACCTAGTCAGGATAGTTTTAGTTATTATCAGAACCATGCAGGTGGGAGATGCTGGACTGGAATGACATTCTGAGATTCAGAGCTTTACTAATGGGTAACAATTAGTCCTCGGTGTAAGTGTGCATGCATGCACGTGCACACACACACACATACCCCTCAATTATTCTAAAAACAAGCAAAAATGCCCTCTCAGCTAGTCATCCTGATCCTCTCTGACTGAAGCGTGGTTTTCCTCAATTCCCACATGGTATTCTGGTACAGGCACTAGTTGCTGTGATTCCCCAGATGTACCCTCTGCTTTCCTTTGTGGTCTTGACCCTTTGCTGATGGCCCTCCCCACCCTAACCAACCCCACCACTCTCACCCCATCACCACGCACCTACATCATGCCATCGATCAAATACTTTAAACACCTCAACTTCCACAAGAGTTTCTGATACCATAAAATTAAATGGGCTCAATTTTTGTTTTGCCAACGTCTTAGGGATCTCCTATGTGACTTGCGTTACTCTATTTCTAGAATATTCTCATGTGCAGTATTGTTAAGCCCTGGTTAACTCCTTTGTGATAGGACTCACACATCTCACATCTGAATGCCTTACACTAACTTGCACATGGTCATCTGAATGCCTGACACTAACTTGCACGTTCCACAAAAGTGCTGAACTGACCTACTGGACGTATCTGAAATGTAATTGTTACCTCTGATGATACTTATGCTTTCATATTATGCCATCTATGATTACACTAAAATCCTAGAATTTTCCCAACTTCCTAACAGAGAGCCTTTAGGAAGATTCTATTTCTCCTGAAATGCACTATGTCAAGGCTTAAAAAATAATCAGATAAGATTGTGTTAAAATTAATGCCTCCCTAAAAATAAGAAGAATATATTTCTTTTTATCCTCAGCTCTCCAAAGTCCTTCACAGTCAAGCATATCATGTTACAAAACAAAACACATCATCATCCTTTGAAATTCAGTTACCTCTGGGCTAACAGCTTAACAAAAATACAGAGACACTAACAACTTCTGACAGGAACTCAACTCTTAGGACAGCAAAATGGAAAGGACTTGAGAATATTTACCATAGGTAAAGGGTTTAGAGATCAACATACCAGTGACTGAATGTTCTAACCTACCACAGAGTCAATTTTCAGGAATAAACTAGCATGAAATAAAATTACTTTAAAAATCCATGAGAACTACACTGTCTGCATAATCAACAGGCCATCTGGTAAAAAAAAAAAAAGAATATTTTATACAGTTTTCATCTTTAAGGATTTATTTACCTAATTCAATCCAAAAAAAACAGTCTGATAGTTTTACCTTCTCAAGTAGTTATTTAGGAGCAGTGGAGTATAGATTCCAATTTGCTAATCAGTTCTTTTGCCCATCACATTCACAACAGAAAAAGGGTTTTCGGGCTATTTCTACACATGTGTAAAAGAGTCAAACAAAAATACCAGCCCTCATAAGCACTCACAGGTGTAGCAGGAGTGCCTGGCTTTGAGCTGGAATCCCACACAGCCTTCCCTCCAATTCCTAGCATACAGGGAAAACTCCAAACCAGAACTATTAAGATGATTTAAGTTCATAAGTTAATTTACATGTTATACTATTAGTCAAATGATTACTTTAAAAAAAACACACAGAAGTTTTTTAAAGATTCTAATCCTTAGAAGGCAACCTCAGTAAGCAAAAAGTAAACATACATATATGTATACATCAGATAACTGAGTAGGACATTCTCTGGACAGTTACCTACATCCAGTAGAAAGAGAATAGAAAACTACATGAGCATGAATTTGCAATCAATTTTGGGCTATTTTGATTATTTCATTTTAACTCAAACTCTCAAAAATCTGCAAGTTTTAAAAAGATGACCAAATTTAGGCTGAACTAAAAATAAGATATAAAGATATAAACACTTGTTGCCAGTAAGTTGGTATAATCAAATTGTTTATAGTGAAATAAACAGAAATTCAAACATGTCTCCTTCACTTTGGTTAAGTTTCCCTAATTCTTCGTGGAACTACCTTGTATGATCATTCAAATGACCTAAGTGTAATCATTTTGCATACAATATGCTTCTCCTCTTAGCAAAGGTACACTCTACCACGCAAGCCAATTTTATTCTAGTTTTCTTTATGTAAGTGTGAAAAAGAACAGATGTTTTTCCAAAATTATTTAAGTTTGGAAGACATTCATTCTATAGTTTTCTTCAATATAAATCCTTCAGAATCCCCAAACCCTTCATGGTGATACCTTAATAGCTGACTTCCTAAAAGTACAAGTTATTAAATAAAGATCAGAATGCAAATGCACAGTGTGGTTCAACTGATAAAATGCTGATCATAACCAGATGTTGTGAATTATTTGCCAATTTCATTTTCCACCATGGACTTAAAAAAAAAAATCTAGTTGTTCTGTATGTCATGCAGTAAGAGATTTCTAAAACTTTACCACATTATACAGCTCAGACTACACTGCCTAGATTCCTTTAGATCTTGTCCGATAAATTGTTTCATTGGAGTTATCAGCTGGCTTGATCATGCTTCAAATAAAACTGATTAAAATGGTCTTTTTAAGAAAGGAGAGTTTGCTCTGAGTTACTCCAAAGTCCTGCCGATACTAAAATGAGATCCTATGGTGTGCTGAAAGATGCAGAGAGCTGTCTTTGAGTTATTTTTTTCATTATGCAAAACTTGGCCCTGGAGAGATGGCCATGTACCTCGTTAGCTGAAACAGGCAAGCATGTCAGCACTGCAAATTAACTTACCGGAGAAATCTGAAGTGGATTCAGATCATTCAGGTTTCTAAAGTAGATCTAAATCCACTCAACTATTAGGGCAACCTGGTGAGGTTAGAATCTCAGAAATGTGTATCTTTATTGTCTTTTCTCCCCACACAGAGAATACCAATTCCTCCTTAAGCTAAATCTGCAAATGTTCTATGGCAACCAACAAGGAGAGGAACAAGTCTAAGTTTTCAAAACTATAATTAGTATATACTCACAATCTGCCCCCCCCCCCCCGCGCCAATAAATACAAATGGGAACAGTCCAATACTCTTTCTCCTTATATTAAATCTTTGTGTTTATTAAGTGAAAGGCTCCCAGGGACCTTGCATTATTATGTAACAACGTGTCATCCAGCCAGTGTGATGTAGTTTCGAATAGAGTAACAAATCCCTTGGTTTATCAATTCTGTCATTAGTAACTTAAAATACCATTCATCTGGGTGCTTATTCTGTGTTAACTTCGTGTTCCTGCCACTTTACTATCCATAAGAACTCCAAGTTGAGTGATGTGTAACAAGTTCCATTCAACTTTCCCATCCAGGTTGTGAAACCCACTGACATCAGAACTACATAGTTGTTTAAAATGCTAGAACAATACCAGAGTGGTTTCATCAGAAGCCAGGAGTGAGGCAAATAATGTGTCCACGATGTCAATAAAGGTAAGTGGACTTCTCTTCATCTGACCCCGGAAACATGTAACCTTCTGGGGGAGACAGAGGCACCCCATTAGCAACATTATATTAAGTCCTTAAGGAATATAAGCGGTATTCTCCCTCAAATATTATGAAAAAAATATTTTTTAAAAATCAACAGACTAGGTTTCCATTTGTGGATTGTAAATGTCATCCAATTCTGGAAATCAAAAACTCTTTCCTTTTATATGTGTATCTGCTTATTTTTGACACTTTAATGATGCCAGAACATGAGGTTTGAAGGGTACAAGCGAGAATCGCCAGCATGTAGAGAAATCTGGGAGAGCCACAAAAGCATAGAAAGTAAGGGTGATAGCAGACGCATTTCAAGTCTGATGAGCCTGCAGTTAGGATTTTCCGTTTGGGCAGGTTTGCCAGGGCATTTAGGAGATGAGGCTTTCAATTCTCTCACTCATACATGCACAACCTGACACACACCTGGGGCGCATTCAAACTCTACGTACAGTAGATGGCCTATATGAACGTATATATGTATTTAAAAAAAAATAGCCTGACATCTAACAAAGACAGGAAGGCAACGTAGGTGCAGTGAGTCTGGTCTGAGAAACGTGCACAGCCCCTCAAGAAGTGCGGGTTAAAATGAAACATTTCTGAGGGTGAGGATCAACAAGGCAAGCGGGAGGGGCGGGAGCCGACAGACAATACATAGACCCGCAGCTCCCCACCGACCGGGTGCCACACGGACCCGGAGCGTAACCCCTGCTTACTGTGGACTCTTGGGGTAGAAGGGCAGGGTCACATGGCTGAGATCCTGGATGTCAAAGGCGGTGGGCTCAGCGGAGATCGCCTGCCGCTTGGTTCGCGGCTCGCCTTGCAAGGTGCTCGCGCTCTGCTTCTGCGCCTGCTGGGTGGCCGGCCGGATCACCGAACGGTACTTGTCCAGCTCGTTCTGCAGCTTCTGGATCAGTTCGTCCTTCTGATCCAACTCCAGCTCCAGCTCGTCGATGAGAGCATCCCGCTGCCTCAGCTCCTCGATCTTCTCCTGGAGCGCGTACTGTAAATCCCGCAGGGTGCCCATGCTCCTCCGGGCTGCCGGGGGCTCCTTCCTGCCGCTGCTCCGCGTCTTGGGGCTTCCTCCCCTCTCCGATCAACTTTCCCCAAAGTCGCTGCTGCCTCCCGAGTGCAAAAGCTTCCTACTTGAGACCAAAGCCAGCCTTGGCTTCTGAGCATGCCCAGTCTGCCGGCTCCAGCCACCGAGAGTTTCAGGGCAGATTCCACTTCTCCGGGCTGACTGTGAGGCTGAGAGCGGGGATAAGCCAAACGGCAGGTCGGGCCGGGCTTCCACCTGAACCGTGGCGGGCGCCGGGGAGGAGAGACGCGAGCGCGGCGGCCGGGCCACGGGAGAAGGGGCTCCTACGGTGCGGGTGCGGTAGGGGGCTCCGAGGCCGCGGCGGGTCTGCCCGGGTCACTCGGCCGGGCGCCGAAGGAAGGCGGCGGAGAGTGTGGGGAGCCTGATAAACCTTGGGCGCGCCAGGGGATGCGCGGGCGGAGCGAGGCGGGAGCACTACTTCGGGGGCGGGGAGGCGGGCGGGAGAGGACCGGAGGGACCCCGAGCAAACTGGGGAGGCGTCTGCCGCCCCGGAGCCTACCGGGCTGGAGGATGTGGGGGCTACAATCCCGGCGACAAGCGAGGGCAGAGCGGACTCTGCATCGTAAGCGCTCTGAGTTCTGGAGGTGTCTGGACTGGCAGCCTCGCGGAGAAAGGATCCGCAGCCTGTGGCTGAGCTCTCGCGTCTGCCTCGCCGCCTTCCTCACGGGGAGCGCCTCACACAGGTGGTAAGGCTTGAAAACAAACTTGCCTCTCAGGAGAGGAGAGCGAGTCGGTGCAGGGGAGGGGTTTCCACTCACACCCGGGTGCTTTTGGGGGAGAGGGGGAGCTTTTGATCCCACCGCCACCCGCGCCAGCGTTTGCAGCTGCTTCGAATGACTCCCCTTTCCGCTCCTTCTAAACTCGGATTCATGAACTCTTCTTAGGGCAAAGGCCAGAACGGATGGAACTGAGCCCTAGAAAGCTGCTTAGCTTCCCCACTGTCCGTCCCACCTAACCAGTGTCTGCGGAATAGTTCATGGAAGGGCCTTCCCCCTTCCACTTGCTGAATTTGCAGCGGGGAGTCGAGGGTGGGAGGCGGGCAAGTCAAAATCACTGCGGTATTCCAAAAAGTTCACTCTGAAATTGAACCATGCCTTTAAAATTACTTTCTTAGTAACCAAACTGTTAGGGCGCTAGCCTTCCCCTTGAACGGCAAAACACAAACTTTGACGAAGAGAGAAAATCTTAAAGAAAAGGGGGGACCCTAGACGGGCCGGGGTAAACTGTACACTGTACCGCCCCACCCCCACCGCCCGCATCCCTGCCTGCTCCGTATTTCCTAAAATGATGACAATTTAGATAGCATCCTTTCTGTCCAAGGGCAATTCTTCTATCATGTTTAGAATCTTCCATAACACTTAAATTCCTCATATTTACCTAAATCTTCACCGAGTCATTTAAATTTTTAGCATCTTTATTAGCAGCCCTTTAATTACTATTCTTGAGAACTCAATGTTATAATCCTCGATGTTCTATTTGGCCATTCCTTAACACAAAATAAAACAAAGTAGACAGAAGATAGATTAAGATTCTGAATTGCAATCCAGAACTATTCACTGTAATCTACATTAGCCAAGGACATGTATCAGTCTCAAAAAAGGTGCTCACTTTTGCTTTTGAATACACAACCTGTTCTAAGAAGAGCAAAAAGGAAAATGGGGAGGCGAATGAGGAAAAAAGGAGGAAAGAAAAGAACAGAACCAGCTAGCTAGTGTCACCTTAATAAGCTTTTTGATGTAAAGTGTATTTAATTTTGTCTGTAATTAAGGTATAAATGAAAAAGGATACACAATCCTAAACATTCTACCCAGATTATGATTTAATTCTCTCACTAGACATATGACACAGTTGTTCTGCTTTCCAATGTGGATGTTTTCAGAAGTGCATTTATTTCAGAATGCATTGTACAAGGTGAATGATTCCCCCAAACAAACATGGATAACTTACAAATACTGAGAGCAGTAAATAGTTCTGAATTAGTGGTTTTAATGAAAACTAAACCAAGCAGAAGTGCTCTGGCTTTGTATAACTGACTCTTTTCTAAAAGAGCTTCCATGACATTTTCCTTCTTCCAGGCAAAAGGCCAAATTCTTATCTTATTTAACCTATGGGAATTCTTTAATTCCATGGGAAAATGTCAAAAACTTAATGAGACTCCTTTCCTATAGATCTATTATAGGGGTCCAAGAGCCCAAGAGTTTATGTCTAAAAATATATCAGGGGCATTGTATAGGGGACATCATTAGACAACTGCTAAGCAAGATTATGCTGTAAGGTTCATTTGAGGCTTAAATGGGGTTACTTAATGTCTTTGAGCAGCACAAAGTAAGAAGACTCTTCTTCATTTGTAGAAAGCTTGTCTACACATAAAAAGGATAAAAGAAACTAAAGCATTTTCCCCAAAAATAAAAAATTGCATTTAAACCAAGAAAAAAATAAGTTTTTTTTTAACAAAAATGAAATTTCTTCCACTGTTATGTAAATATTTTTCACTAAACTACCATAATCTATGTATCACTAGAGGATGTTACATTTTCATTTTAAATGGAATTCTTGTGATACAAAATATATTCCTTGATGAATCCCATGGTGAGAATCAGAAATCTGTTGTAATAAATGCAAAGAAAGTAACAGCTGAGAAGATATGGCTATTACAATTTGACTTACACTTTAAAAGATGTTCAAGTTATAAGAATATATTTGGCTGCATTACTCTATATAATGAAAAAAATAAAATTATCCTTAAATACTTTATATATGAAAAATCCTGAATTCTAGGCTTTTCTATTTTTAAAGTCAAAATAAATATTTTAAGTATTTCAGTGATGTCCTTGACTGTTTGTTTAAATCTCGAGGGACCTTGGTTTTCTATCTCTACCTTTTGAGTGATTCTAATATTTTCTTAAACATCTTTTGCATTGCATTTGGTAAATGCTGGAAGTAAATTTTACATACAAAATCTAGGTATTATAGTTTCATTTCAACAGACAGATATATTTACTATATGTCTTATAATAAACTTAATTGGCTAAGTTATAATATCACAGATCACTCACAAGTCTACTTTCTGCTATTAGAAAGTGGCTGCCGCAAATTTGGGGTGGAATGAAACTGCATATATTCAGCTTTCCACTGCCTAGTTGGGATGAGGTCTTGATGTTAGATGCTAAAGCACAGAACAATGCCATTTTGAAGGAACTTAATTCATATACTGGAATTCCATAGTAACTTTTCAGCAGTCTCTCTTTGTTATAGCTCTAACAGGAGCAAAATTCCAGTAGCCAGATCCACCTGTGGCATATTAATGCTCTTCAATTCTGCATCCAACCCTCATGATTGAGAATAACTAATACCACACCTTACTTAATGGGATCTCAGAATCACTTAATGAGACCTTCAGTAATTCAGCTTTATCGTAATATTGGCCATTAAAAAAATAGTCTTTTGAATGTATTATTCTACACTAAAAACATAGTTAGCCTGAAAATAACTGTGATAATTTTGTCATCCAGCTGCCCATTCCACTGGTGCTATGGACATGGAGGCCTGCCATGCTTCAGTCCATGGGGTCGCAAAGAGTCGGACACAACTGAGCAACTAAACTGAACCAAACATTTCCTGCAAGAGTCCAAAAATCAAAATTTCCTTCTGTCATTTCATGTACATGTCTTGAACAGCAAAAAATAAAACCAAAAACAAACCAAAAACATAGCTAAGCTTTATAGGTCATGTAAGCAGCCCCTTACAGAAGAATCTAGATATAAAGGTAACTAATAGTGGTAAACACACTAGTTTGCTCTAAAATGTCCATCTTAATCGTGACCTCAATAAAAATAACTAACTTCCTGGAACACTTAATGTATGACAAGCACTGTTCATGTAACCTTACGAGTTGGACATCATTTCCTTTTATATTTGAGAAAAGGGAAACAGAGAATCACTCATCTTGTGTTGTTGTTCAGTCTATAAGCTGTGTCCAACTCTGCTACCCCATGAACTGTAGCACACCAGGCTCCTCTTTCCTCCTTATCTCCTGGAGTTTGCTCAAATTCATGTCCACATCGTCAGTGATGCTATCTAACCATCTCATCACTCACCTAATATCAAATCCAGACCATTTGGTGCAGAGCTCATTCCCCTACCACTGCCCCTCACTGTGTTCTGCAGGACTTCCAAGGGTTGGTAATGACTTCTGGATCCAGAGTGATAAGATATTAATTAACATTAACTGGCCTGACTTTGGAGTTAGGGATGTGGGAAGAGGAGAAATTTGGAAAATCGTAAAAGAGTAGGAAAAATATTTTTTTAAAAGTTCCTTTTCCCCAAACTGTCTTTATTTCAGCCTCATTTCATCTTCGGTTTATGGTCACCAACTTATACCCATTTACCTGGGATTGCCTTTGTTTTAATATTAAAATTGGTTGGGACTGTCCTACTTTTTACACTAAAGTCCTAGTTACACCTTGGTCCTGGGCAAACCAGGAAGGCTGATCATCCTCTATAATTCAGGAATGCAAAGCCTCTCTATTTTACAAATATTTTCATATTTTGTATTCAAAGTTACTGATAGAAAAGTAAAACCAAGGAAGATCTGTAATAATAATACCTATTGTTTTAAGCACATTACAAACCCACTTACACATTTGTTTCTGTGAATATGTTTTAGGAAAGCAATCATCCAATTTCAATGCATACTAATACACCACAGGAATTGTCTTTGGACTGTAAAGGGGAGAGGAGTCAGACAATAGAATTTTAATTACTTTGATAAGTCAGACAAGGATTCAAGGCTCTCTTTTTGGTTTGCTCTTATAAAAATCTAGAATTTAGACAGATTGGATTCTTAGAGACTAAGCACAATTCAAGTTCCTGCTATTTGATTAACTCTTATAGGATTATATGATTATGATTATTGTGTTTGGTGACTA